TATATTGCGTGTGTGTGGGGAGGGTGATTTTGTCTATCAAGCAAAATTAGGATTCAAATTCGAAGCTTTTTTGTTCGGACATGGCACAGAAGTCAGAAAGAACAGATGTGCCTTTCCAAAAATGTTTAAAATTAGTGTAGGTGACAAGAGTGCGAATACTGATAGTTATAAAAAAATAGTAAAATCATAAAAATGGTCAATATAGGCTAACGTAGGGGTGCAAGGTGTGCCTTGCTTCTGTCCCTAGTCCCCCCTCAAACATTCACTTGTCGATCACACTTACGTGGGTTGAACATTTAGTAGGACAAATTCTAAATTTTGGAATGGAAAGGACGGAAAATCATACAAATCTTCTCCGTTCGACCTACCAGACGTCCAACATCAAAATTTCGAATTTTTTGTTTGTGTTTTGTACTATCGTACCACGAGCAGTGTGACACTTTTAAAATCCGAAGAACGTATAACACTGGCGTTTCTATATGTTTCATTTAACGTGGTTTCCCACGATTGTGAGAATTATTCGGATGTGGTCTTGTACCTGGTATGAATGTGGTGCTCACTGTACATCTGCTGGCAACACCAAATTGCAGTACGCCAGTCTGACACTCAAGTAAGTCTAATACCCCAATTTCGAACTAGAGTTTACTGAATTATGGGCACTAAGCGCAATATGACAGAATAAGAATTCCACTGTATTATGAAGAGCTCTCAGCGCACGATCACTCACACACACACACACACACACACGCCTAATTCCCTACTTTCAGATTCGTTTATTGTCTATTGAATTACTGTTACTACAGCCATGAAGACACAATTAGAATTTCAACTCAAAATATAACGCTCTGGATCAATCACCTTTCCTGAATGCACGGTGTGCGTGTTCTGGGGACACGAAATTTCACTACACACACACATACACACCTAATTCTCCACATTCAGATGCGTGTATTGCCTATTGAATTATCGGTACTACACGTGTGAAGAGACAATGGGAATTTTAACGTACAATATAGCGCTGTGGTGCAATCACCTTACCTGTGAGCACGGTGGACGCGTTTTGGCAACACCAAATCTCACTACACACACACAGACACATAAGATCCTAATTTCGTGCGCATTTATTATCAAAATGACACAATGAGAATTTCAGCGTAAATCCGGTGCATGATCTCATCTGTATGTAGTGGGCGGTGTACGCCTGTGCGTCGGGCTAACAATGAAATTTTTAACTTACAACACAGCGCTCTGGTGCACCCACATGTCCTGTATACACGGTGTACGTAGTCCGCCAACACCAAATTTCACTACATCGCACACACACACACACATTTAATTCCCTTCTTTAAGACGCGTTTATTGTCAATTGAAGGGCTCAGGGGAACACAGTACACTTGCTTATATTGGACTAAAATTATAGTATTTGAAGTTATATTTAATGCTTTCACAACAAAATGTGGAATAGCTCTACATTCTACTAGCCCCTTCAATTGAATGCCTCAACGAGAATTTGCACGTATGTGGAGCGCGGCCTTACCTGTATGTAGTGGACAGCGTGCGCCTGCGCGTCGGGCGGGGAGCGCGCGACTGACGCCGCGGGCGACGCGTGGTACTGCGGTTGCTGCGGCGGCGACGGCGCGTACCCGGCCGCGTCGGGCGAGCCCTGCTGCTGCTGCTGCTGCTGGTGCTGCTGGTGCTGGGGCGAGGGCGGCACGGCCGTGGTGACGATGGTGCCGTGCTGCGTGAGCGTGCGGTGCACGGGCGCGCGCGTCGTGGTGATGACGGAGCGCGCGCCCACCGCCTCGCCTTGCAGCGGCAGCGCCGGGGCGGCGCTGGTGACCGGGGCGGTCGCCACCACCACGACCGCGCCGCCCGCCTCGGACGCTAGCGACGTGGGTGCGCGCGGCGGCGACGTGTCTGGGGTGGTGGTGGCGGAGGGGTCGCCCGCCGGGGCGGGTTGGTGGTGTTGGTGCGTGACGTGGTGCGAGGGTGGCTGCTCCACGGGAGGGGACTGCTCGCGGTCGTCCATGTCGCTGACTGCTCTCGTCCGGATCTGGTGGAAAACTGGGCGTTATTTACAATTTAATGAGGAAATATGTATTGTTACCAGTCCCGACTACGGCTGTTGTCATTTGTCCCGTAAGTGTAGCGCATTTTACATCCCGGAAAGTGTCGTTGTTCTCTCCTCGCAGGAATATAACCTCGGTGTCGACCTTCATGTCCGTCTGAGATGTTTTCCCACTCCAGATATCTCCTGCAGTGATGCTCTATCCCTCCCATATCTAGCTCTCGACTGACCTCCCATGTAGAAGTGAACGAATACCTGTATGAAAGGAGAGAGACGGAAGATCGCGCGGGGTCCGTAGCTCGTTTGTTAAGATACTGCTCTGGGATGCGCCAGGTAAATTTTCGAAGAAATTCCAGTAAAATACCGATCAGAGCAACAAGGTGTTGAATTCTGTCTAGCTCTCTTGCTTGTATCGAATATTCGCCTTCGTCGGGATTCGATGTGTAATGTCTCTGATGCTCCCTGCCGGACCTGGTGGGGAAGATTGCGTTCTAGTGCTTGGTTTCCTTATTTTTTATTATTTTATTTTTATTAAAAACCAGCGACTTGACCGGCGGTCGTTGAGTATTTATTTCTCGTTACCATCGAATAGACAACCTCGCCCCCTCAGCACGCCCCGCCGCCTCGCTCTATCTGTCCCGTTTCACCCAGATCGACCACTAATTCCATTCTCATCATCCGTTTCCTTTTTTGGATTGGTATTGTAGCGTCATGTTAGCTGCCCTGAGTGGGAAGAGTACGCGGAAGCCTCTTATACTGATATATGTAGCTCGCAGCCACGGTGATGGGGGTGGCAGATATTTGTAAAGCCAGGGAGACGCGAGCTTGAATTGCAGCAAGTGCCGCGTGACAGTAAGCTTCCTCCCACGGTCAACGATGGTAACGTGGGGATAAGCTGGCGAGTATAAATTGGGCCGACTCGCTCACACCGGGAGGTTTTTTTTGTAAACCTCGCACTTTGCGCAAAATTCACGCCCAGACTGGTGACTATTTGTCCGGTGCACGGGTTTCGAAGGTGGCGCTGTAGGAGAGTGCCCTCGAGGTGGGGCTTTTCATATACATGTGGTGTACCAACAGGATGATACGATCGCGGCAAGCGGTCAAGAAATACCGGGTGTGTACGGGGTAGTTCGATACATTGGTACATTTTGTAAATAAAACTGTAATACGTTTAAATTGTCTGTGTGCTTAATTCCACGACGCCACAGTATTGCCATATTTGTTACCTTCATCATTGCTTGGACCGTAATGCATTAGAAGCATTGCAAGTTGGATATTTACATACTTTTACATGTATATATTCATATGCAGTCTACCCTGCTCGTGCCAGGGATTATTTCAAGGTTGTAAGCTAACACTGTACCGAATGTAGTTGAATTAGTTCCAGACTTTCTAGAGTTGGGTTGGAACACAAACACATATTCATTCATGCATGGTTAGTCGTTTCAGAAGAAAACATCAGGAATTCCTTATTATTTAAGCAATATATCAGTAACGTAATTCTCTTGTGATACTAACGTGTAAGTGCTTCGGTGGATAAACAAACATTAAACTTTCGTTTGTTCTTTATCAATACTAGTCCATTCTCTTCTAGATCTGATTCTACGCAATATTTGCTAAAGAATCGATTGGGAACTTACTTTGTAATTTTGAACACACATTTTCCTTCAATGTTTTTTGATAAAACTAATTATAATATTCGCCCTCACAAAATTCAATGCAAACACACCGTGAATGTCTGCAAAATACATGTCAGTTACATCAACTTTTCAATAATCCGATCATTTAATATTTACATGAATATATTTATTATTTTTTGAATACATTTGAATTTTTCTTCTCTCCCCTCCCCAACGACTATTACATTCATGGTTAAGTGCACTGCATTATGTAAGGATTTTGCTCGCACTTGTCTACAGCGCTCAAGCGCCTTGATGAATTAGCCATTTCCTTTCCAAGGACACTAAGTCCGGGCGAACGGGCTCATTCAAGGAGAAGTGTCACGACACAAATCTGAAGCACCTACATTACACCACCTAAGCTCCAGAATAAAGTTTTGTGTGATTAATAAAGGGTCATGGGATGACTGAAAAAAATATCCGCGTATTCTAAAGGAAGTATTTGCTGTTTGGTAAGTCATAGTTTTATATTATATAGGCTTTATAAGATATTCCGTTGGTAAATTTCAGTATACGAGTAGCAAATGCGATGATAAACGTTTTAGGTCACCCTTGTTTGTCGCATTGCAAATGTAAATACACTCTCGTGAGTCCACTGTGTAGTCAAGGATATCATAAAACTCTCAGAAGGCTTGTGAGAGCAGTCTCAAATTTAACATTCGCAGGAGCGGAGAACTTCAACACCCTAAACATTCCTTCACAAGGCCTCTCACATACGCTAGTTTTGAAGTTAAAAACTGAATGTGTACGAAGGATTTATTCTGATATGGAATACTGAAATCGTAAAAGATAAAAATACATTTCGTCCAATCAAGAATTTTGATGATGTTTCTTCCTTCACCAATTAGTAGTTATTCATGGTATATTCTTATCAAAATATCTGTAGCCCCTATACTTATCAAGTTAAGTTTTATAATATGTTAAGAAACTTTTTTGGGGGGGAAATGCCTGAATTTCACTTATTTGGAGATCTCGCGCATTTTCGTTCAACGTGCTTTCAAAAAAACGTACATAATCGAGTCTCATAGGCTAACACATCTTGAGTATTACATTCACCAGATGCTTTCAGTTCCTTTTCCGACTTTTTATCTTTTAATTCACAATGTTAACATTTTTACTCGAAAAAACTTGTGTCAAAATGAATGAGCAAAACTCGTATCCGAAAGGGTCATTACTGATTTTACATTTCTACTCTAGCCAGAGTATTTGTCAGATACAATATCTAACTCACATATACATTTATATCACACGAAACTACATGACACAGGGCAGAATCGACTCGAATTCATGATATTGAAGATGCGGATAAAATGATAGGTATACTCTCTAACCTCTATGCATTGATTAATAAGCAGTTTCTCATATCTTTTCTCAAAAAAGAAAGCACCTACCCGAAAAATGAAAACAAAAAGGTTAAATGCTGATATCACTAATTGTCAGAATGACAGAGACACTTTAATAGTCTTTCCAAGATTGTATCAAAATATATTTTGCGTTCCGACTTCGAGTTCTGCATTTAATTAATTTTCAATTGTCACAACTACATTATTCATTAAAACAAATACTATAATGCATTGACAAATTGAATTGCTTCTAAACATAGGTTTTAAATAAATTGATTTCGTCGTGTTAGAAACAAACACACACTTTCTATTTTCTTAGCATTCAATTTTGAAAGAGAAATATTGAAATATTAGAAACGTGGAAGTAAGTTTTGGGCGTTTTTTATTTGTTTAAATCGATGTATGTTATTCATAATGTCACAAACAATTTGGACGCAACCTTTGGCTACATTGGGTGCTGTGCTCATCGAAATAAATGAAAAATGTGCACCAATCATTGGAAAATCGTCAGTTGTGATATCTCAGAAATTTGATTATTATCTCGTATCATACTGGACGGTACCCTTACTATTAAAATCGACAATTCCAATGAATAAGAATAAATTAAATTCAATACTTGTTTTTTTAACTCGAGGCATAAGTTGATTTTGTCTGGGGCGCAATGTAAAGCAGAAACGCGTCGATATCTCGAAACAACAGGCGGCCTCCGTGGCCGTTTTTGGACGGCCCTGCTCCGTCCCACATCGCAAGAACAAGACGGAGGTGGGGTGGAGCTGAGTGGCGGGTCCGGGTGGGGAGAAGGGAGGGGGAGAGGGGAGGCGGGGGAGGGGCGGGCCGAGTGTTAACAAGCTACACCTCACCGGTAGGCTTGGTGCCCCCGTTGCACGAGCCCAACATCTCCACTCTCGCTTCTCGTTCAGGCGCACGCATGAAGTTGCAGAGCGCGCTGTTATTCGTCACCAGATGGTGCATCGATTGCAGAAACTCGATACCTCCAACTTCAATAATACGAATTATTTGATTTTTCACCTTTTTTTCTTTTTTCTTTTTTTTTCTTTTTCTTTTTTTTTCCTTTTTCAAATTCCTTATTCATTTTAGTTTCGGCAACTCAAATCTCGCTTGTCTAAAAACTTATTAACTCCAATTTCACTTAATCCCTTCATATTAGTAACATCGACGTTTCACAAAACTGCGGGGAGTTTGACAGTCTTTATTAATTGCACAACTTTTCCAAGAACTGGATAATGTATTAAACATTATTTGTACTCTATGTCTTGGACACCTCAGTAAAATGTGCACTTTATCAAGAAATCATAAGTGTCTTATCTCAGAGGTTTCACAATTCTTTGGTTGCCCGAGTGAGGCGGCATTAGTTATGTTGCATATTGAAAATGTCTTTTATATTTCTAACAATACCTACATTTCGTGTCTATATATTGAGTTCCTAATCTCTCTGTCCAATTAAATCTCACTAATATCCATTAATGGAGATATTTGATTGAATTAACAACAGAAATAATGAACAACGTTTTCGTCACGTGTTATGCCGCATGCAGATTGAAAATCATTCTTATTCACTCTTATTGACACATCTGTTCAATTTCATTTTCGGGCAGATTATACTCTCGAAACCTTAAGGTGTTAAAGATAATGGGGTCATTAAATGGTATTAGCATAACAGGAGATTTTATAAACAAATCAAGAACTTTCTATAGAGCATATGCACCGCAAACGTATGTAGGTTCCAACAACAATCGTTCAACATCCCTTATGATCAAAACGTAAAAGAAAATTAATCATTTTGCCACGAAATGTAGCTTTTCAGAGGAATATGAATTTCTCCTGAATAACTATCATTCTAATTAGGCATTGCACCTTATCCTTAGGTCACAAAATTCATCATTCATTAGAAATATCACAAAATTCGTCAGTTTCTTTT